ATAAACAAAGTAACTTTTTTTTAGAGGCCATATCAATTCCAGAGAAAACCACCTTAAATACAAAATGGAAAACTAAGTAATTCAACAGATGTACAAAATAGTTTCATTCCATTAACCTAACACTAAGAGGGCTAAGAAGTAGAACAGAATGTTACAAGTAATAGTCTGCGTATGCTTCAGAAATGTCAAGGCAAGGCACGATAAATATTTTTTTAAAAGTCAGTATAGAACTTTCATAATGGGAGAAGTCTTCTTGGTGACACAGTCTCCAATTTAATTTCAATCATAAAATGGAAGTCCTAGGATTACAAGATTATAAATTCTAGAACTAGAAAGGACTAGAAAGAAGTCTTCTAGGCCAACTTCTTCATTTTACAGAGGAGGCATCAAAAAGCCACAATGGTTAAGGGACTTGCCCAGAATCACAGAAGTAGGAGTGGCAGAGTCAGGACTTGAACCCCGGTCCTCGGACTCCAAAGCCTACATTCTTTCTACTTTATAACCCCACTTTCCGGTTTGGACCTCTTATGAAATTAGCTTAAAAATACAAGTGCTGAGCTGTCAGATATGATTACTTCACCTGATGAACAAAAAGGTGAGGTCTCTTTTTGCAATCAACAGGTGCTTGTTCTGTGTGAGTCACTGTGCTAAGCATTCTGGGGACACAAGAAAAGGCAAAAGACAGTCCCTGCCCTCAAGGAGCTCACCATCTAAAGAGAGAAACAACATATACACAACTGTGTGAATACAAGATGGATGCAAGGGAAAAGGAAAGTATTCTCAGAGAGAAGGCACTGGGTAAAGGGAGACAAAGGGACTGCGAAAAGCCTCCTCCAGAAGGTAGGAATTGAACAAAGTCTTGAAGGAACCCAGGGAAGTCAAGAGGCAGAAAGGAGGAGGAGAGCAATCCAGAAGAGGGACAGGCACTGATTCAGAGGATGGAGTTTACTGGATGGCCGGGGTGGTTGAATCATTGAGTAGGTGGGAAAGGGAAGGATCAAAGTGTAAGAAGACTTGATAAGTATGAAGGGGACCGGTTGTGAAGAGCTTTAAAGGCCAAACAGGATTTTCCATTTGATCCTGGAGGTAATAGAATTAAAGCAGAAACAATTAAACCAATACTTCAATACTTTTTTTTTAAATGCATCATTTAATAAGTGTCTATTGTGTATGAGGCACTAGTAGAAATTCAAAATATAAATAAGATGAATTACAATTGTAGTGGGTGATCTCATCAAATTTAATTTTACGGACTTGTTTTTTCCAAAGGCTGAAACACACACATACCCGAGATCCTCAAACAGAATACAGACCTTATTCCTTTTTTCTCTTTCCAATTTAAGAACAATATTATATGATTCTATGCTACTACATTTCAAGAGATCATGGGTTTTCTATCAAACTGCATCTTACCATGGAGCATTCAAATAGAACAACAGGGAAAGAAAAGAAGAGTATTATGGACATTTAAGGTTATTCTCAGGGTGATATAAATAATTATGTGAAGAGGAAAGCTTCACTTTGGCTAGAACATGACACAGACATGATACAAAAGTGATACGGGATTGATTGAGAAAAATAGGCAGCTAGGTGGCACAGTGGATAAAGTGCCAAGCCTGGAATCAGGAAGACTCATTTTCCAGAGCTGAAATCTGGTCTCAGACACTTACGAGCTGAGTGACCCTGGGCAAGTCACTTAACCCCATTTGTTTCAGTTTCCTCATCTGTAAAATGAGCTGGAGAAGGAAATGGCAAATCACTCCAACGGGGTCACAAAGAGTCGGACACAACTAAAAAACAACTGAAGAACAAAACACCTACAAGAGCCTGAAGGAATTTGTTCTTGATATCACATGCAAGTTAAATATGAAAGAATACTTCAAGGTCACAATATTCATATGTTTGTGGGTGCTGGACAGCCAATTTGGTGGCCTTAAGAGTTCTGAGGATACTTATGTGAAGTTACCATCAAATTCCCCATAGGAAAAGAAAAGGCTAAGATTTGAGTGGTGACTCCAGATGTCTGTCATTGGGAGTGTGGGGCCTGTGGGTGACATAAAAAGTGACAACAGGGACTGGGTATGATGACATGGTACTAGTGCATCTGTGGCCACTGTGAGTAGTAAGAATAGCCTCCCCTAGCTACTTTGAATGAATCTTGTTGATTTGGAAGATAAAGGAAAAATTTATGGATGCTGAAAATATGTACAAGCTAAAAAAAAAAAAAGTCCTCCCAACACAGATTTCCTCAGGAGTGGGCCAATACAGGTAACGTCTCAGTTTAAGAAAATGGCTCTGAATCACCATCACAAAGTCCCAAAGCCCAGATGCCTTACTCACAGTGCCAGTGTGGAAGAATGAGAGGAAGATTAAAGTCTACACCCGAAGACCCTCAGACTTGAAGTAACAGTACTAAAGTAGATCAGTGGAACATGCAATGAATTCAAGCCCCTTTGACTGTTTTGTAGGCAGCCAATGGTTCTCAGTGTTAAACCTGTACAATATAAGGAAAATATAATATTAAAAATAAAAATATTCAAGACAGCTAGGTGGTACAGTAAATAAAACACTGGACTCAGAATCAAGAAGACCTGAGTTCAAATCTAGCCTCAGACACATTATAACTATGTGATTCTAGTTACTCTGCCTCAGTTTCCTCATCTATAAAATGGGAATAATAATAGCACCTACCTCAGAGGGTTGTTGAGGAAAAAATGAAATAACATTTGTAAAATGTTCTGTAAACTTTAAAGTGACAAATAAAGCTGGCTATTATTACTATTACATAGCTTTTATCAATTTCATAGGATCATAGCCATTTGAGTGCAGGTCTCAAAAGGTTTCTGAGGCCATCACTACCTTTCAGAGAAGAAGAAAAAGAAATTCAGATTCAAAGAAAAAGCATTGGTGACATAAACTGCTTGGAAGTGGTGATCTAACAGGATACTCATCAAAGCTGGAAAAAAATACTAGAAGAGCATGAAGAAAGCCACAAGAAAGAAACCTTGGTGATGCCTATGAGAGGGTAAGGGGATGAGAAGATGGCTGAAAGGAATCTGAGATGTGCAGGAAAAAGGTTATTAATACCAAATCACCACTAGATTGGATAGAAGTTACTTGTCTAAAGTAGTCAAATGACAAGCATCCCCTCTGCAGAGCCTTTGTCAAGCAATGAGTCACATATTATCTCAGCAGGGAGGGAATGCTTGCCACAAGAAGATAGAATCATTGCTCACCTAGAGGATTCTCAAATATTCAGAGCTAACCGGGATCTCATCAATTTGGACATTTCTTCAGGTGATACAGATCACAACTGATCCTTATCTGCGCATCCTGTGCACCTCTTGTCTGCATTCCCCATAGGGCACACTCAATGGGTTTAAAATCAATCTCAATTTCTCCTGACATCCCAAAGATACCAATGGAGCACTCAGGATTTCTACCAGTCATCCCTGGCCACATGACCAGTCTATCTTTTCTTCCTATCATCCTTTCCCCTGATGACATCTTTCACTCCTGTTCTTCAAAGTTCCTTATTGATTATGTTGCCTACTCACATCAACCATGCATCCCTCCATTGTCCTTTGTGTGACATTCATTTTCAATTTGTCAGAGACTGTTGTATTCCATATCTTGCTGCCATATGGAAACACTGATAAAATACTGGTATTAAAAAGATGGCCTTTCCTTCCAGGAGAAGCTAGGGGTAGTAGGAGCTTAATAAATGCTTCATTGATTGAATAAAGCACATTGGCAATTTTCTGAAGACCATCTAGCCCTCCAGCTTCCTTCCATTTAATTCTGGGCCCACTTCATTGGCCATCTCTTTCTATCCCAGGTGTATATACTGACAGACAAGTTCTATTGGTTGTTTATCCAAATGTATGGCCCAATGTGGAGAATGGACAGTCTTTACTCATTTCATCTTTCCTCTGTATGTGATCAAGCCAAACTCTCAAACAGTTATGAATCTCTTCCAGGAGGTTATTCAATTCTCTACAGGGGTGGGGAACCTGTGGCCTCAAGGCCACCTGTGGCCCCTTAATAAAAGGATTTGTTCTATAAAACTTGGACTCAATCAAAAGGCAGCATCCAAGGACTTAGAAGGTCACATGTGGCCTTGAGGCTGAAGGTTCCCTACCCCTGACCTGGAGTATCCCTAAATCCCCACAAACAAAAAGATGAGACATCCAGGCTGTACAAAAACTGACATACTTCAATTATGACTGGTATTTGTGTGGAATGTTTGAAGAAAAGCAAACCAAGACACATTCAGGAATATGATAAGGCTGCTGAGACTTTGCCTATGTCTTTCCTATCAGAGTCCTGAGTTTGGGCCAGAACTTAAAGTCCAAACTTCTTTTGGAGGAAGGGATGTGGAAGTGAAGGAAAGAAATGTTTCAGTGGATGCTATTGCTTTTCTCTTACTTTACTACTCATTTTGGTCTTGATTAAATGCTTTACTGTTTCAGAGCTATTCAACACTTGGGTTTGTTGGCATTATTAAAATGTCTAGACCCAAGTTAATTTCTAAAGTTTCTGCTTTTCCAACTGAAGGGAGGACAAAGCAAACAGATATTGTTTACCAATAAAAATCTCTAGAATTTGAACCTATGAGGGTTTAGATCATGGATTACACATTCAAATAATTTTCTTTCTAAACTGAGAACATTAAATAATTTAATATATGCAGTTAAAAAAAAACATACATTATGGCTTATAAGGTAAAGAAAAAGAAGGAAGGGAAAACAGTCCAGCGAAAGAAAGTGGGCAAAGGGGACAAAAGTACTTTCCCTCTAGCCAGAGGGAAGAAGACAAAGGCCCTTGGCCCTTGGCCTATAGCTTTGTAATCCTATTTTCTTTCTTCTTCCTTTCCCCATCTCTCATTGGCCCATATCTTTCATCTAGATAGCCTGTGCCCAGCATACAGCAAGCCAAGCACCCCATTCAACTACATAAACTCCCACCCAATTCCAAGCAGCCTAGGCAGTCTGACTTACCTTATTCCTGAGTCGATCATTCTCATCTCTGCAAATAGAAAACTGCTTTTTCCACTGATCTACACTGGCAGCGGATTCTTGAAGTGCTGCTGTCAATCTTGCATTGCTTTCTCTCAGAGTTTGCAGCTCGATCTCCCATTTCTTCACGTTAGAGGCACTGTTGTGATGATAGGCATGAAGGTTAGATTCAATACCATAGAACTTAGCCTCCCATGAGAGATTCTGGCCCTGTCACATCTGTACCACAATACAGAGTAGAAGTCAACATCTCTGTATTTTAGAATCCACACATCTCCCCTCCCTATTTAATTTAAAGCCCATTTTTCTATGGAGACAATCATTATCTCCAATATTGTATAAGTTCCATTAAAAATAACCAATATTATTGACTGGTCTATATCAAATGCCAATCTAATTCTTCCTATAGCAAAAATAAATAATTTTATGATTAATTAAAAATTGTAAATCCTGCTATCATTTGGTTGCTCCCAGCCTCACCCTTTTTAAATTCTTAATTAAGGGACAAAATAATAGTCCAAGACTACACTATATGTTAGAGACTGACAAACAGGTCCTCTAGGGGTAGCTAGGTGGCAGCCCTGTTGTCAGGAGGACCTGAGTTTAAATCCGGCCTCAGACATATAACATTCACTAGCTGTGTGACTCTGGGCAAGTCACTTAACCCCAATTGCCATATATAGATATATCTATATATCTATATCTATCTATATCTATATATATCTATATATATCTATATAGATATATATAAAATAAACAGGTCCTCTATTCCTATTCCTATACCATTCTTCCTATGCCCTTATTGATCCCACAACACAGGCATCTGCTGTTGGCAATTCCTAACTAGATCCTGAGACCTGAAGGAAAGGAAAGTCTTCAGTGAAGTCTTCAAAGCCTTGAAAGGCTTCTATGATAGGGCTCCCACAATAAACCAGCATCATAAGAAAACAATTTTAAGGAAAAAACAATACCCTGGCTAGAAAACATACCCCTCAGGTGCTAAAGTGAATTGAAGATTTGAGGGCCGAGATGATCCCTTTTAGCTTCCTCTTCCTAGAAATGTCTTTGGCATAAATGGAAGAGAAAGTTCCTTAGACTAAGAAGACCCAACATGAGTTTTATCCAGTACATGTTCTGTGGCCAAAATGGAGACCCTCATCTAGTGGAGACCTCAATCATTTGATTTTCCATGAGTTGTTTTCTTTTTTCAATGGAGTCTTTGAGCATTCATTTAAGTAACCAAAAACAAAACAAAACAAAACACCAAAAAACAAAAAACCCTTAGTTATGAAAATCCAAAGCCTTGCCATGGAGATGAAAATATTTTTACCACATCAATGTGTTCACTGGGGTTTAAAGAAAGTGAGTTTCATACTAGCAGTCATCATTCCTTTACAACCCTCAAGTTATTTTCTTTATTCCAAACCTTTAAGTCTTCAACACTTCAGGTAATCTCCAATCACAGCTGGAAGGAGTTTCACAGTAAAACTTAATTGTAAGATTTCTGGAAAGTTGGGTCACCAACCTGACAGATACTCACTGGTAGCACTAGCTACTGACCTCAATCTGTTTTCTATGTGTTAATATCAATTAACCTAACCATATTCATACAATTTTGTAACCCTTTTTCTTGTGATATTTAACAGTTAGCCTCAAGGCTCTATGAACTTGACATAAAGCCATGCACCTTAAACTTCAAAGACCACACATTAAGAATGCTCAAAACTCATTTAAGTTGATAATTTTAAGGCTGATATCAAAGAAGTCAAGCTGATTTGAAGAAATGGCTTAAAGTTCATTCACATCATTCATTCACTTCCTCATTAATCTAGAGTGTTGGAGCAAGATTAATTTCAGGTGGGAAATCTTTCTATTTCAGCAGTCCAAAAGGACTAGAAAAAAAAAATCCTGAGAACTTCTTTATGCCTAATAAGGACCACTGTACAATGCAAATCAAGTCAGTCCAGAATCCGAAATAAGATAGGCCTGTCTGAAAAATTATAAAATTACAAAGACATTCCACATTGGGTCAGACTCCTGGGGTTGAGTTAATCTAGTTAAATTATAGCGGCTGGATAGATGCATTTCTTAGCTGCCTCCTTCAATGGAAGAATGCTTATATTTAACTTCCTTCCCTAAAAAGAGAAAGCAAAGTCCTTAACTTCCTCCTCTAAAAGAAAATGTGTTAGCTTCAGTTAGAATTTCTCTGATTATGTGTGGGCAGAGAGCCAGTGCGGGAGCAAGAAAAATGCCATGGCTTTCTGTGTAGCATCCTCCTCCAGTTCACATAAAAGCTACCTCTAGGTGTCATATTCAGGTGTCTTTCTTTAATGGTCAACTTAGTGAAACATCCTCTTACCCAGTGAAAAGAATGGGAATACCACCAAGGAGAAATTAAACAGTGGGGAGAAATAATTTGGATGTGAAATCCTCATTACCTCTGTGTAAGGGCCAGTTTCAGCTTCTCATTCTCCGATTTCAGATGTGCTTCTGCAGGGCCATGAGATGCCTTTTCATCATCTGTCCCATTCACACTTGATGCCTGAGTAGAAGATGGGGTTTCACATCCTGATTCCTATAACAGGGGTCATAGAAATCGCCTAAACTAAACTAAATCACTCTTCTTCCCACATGTGGAAATGAGAGATATGGAAAACAAGTCATACACACGTGCATACAGGTGCTCATGTACATAGACAAAGAAAGAGTGGAACATTTTGCTTCTTGGGAACACAGGGGACAACCACCCCTTCAAGAGTCATAAAAGATGTCAAAGTTTGTGCACTAAAGCACAGGCCTTTAACTCATAGGAGGATTCATCAGTCCTTCAATAACTACCTATTTCCTCCAACTTTATACACCATTTTAACAAGCTTCCTTTAGTTTCCAGACTTCCCTCACCCCCTGAAAAGCAGCAAATTAAAAGCATTGTTATTATAAATGACATGATATAAATTATATAATGGTTAGAGTAATAATTATTAATTATTGCTAATAATAATTGATAATGATGAACTAGAAACACAACATAAACCCAAAGATTAGAGAATGGCTAACAAACTATGGCATATTAATGAAATATTATGCCACAAGTAATAAAGTATGTAGAAGAAATGTAAAGACCCAGAGACAATAAGAAAATTAAATAAATAAAAGATGGGTCAGTGACATAGTAAGAGCCAGGGATAACTAACATAGTTTTGTTTCCACTTATATCCATGCAACATCAAGAGAAAGAGAGGAAAAAATACTAAGTTTTGGTGCTATAGATGTCAGTTCTCAGCTGTGACTGATTCTCTAGGGATTATAAGAACTCAAGTATCACTGCATATTTGAACTCAGACAAACAGAAGAGAAAAATAACAAAGACCTTCTGTATGTTGTCTGTGCCATCCCCAGTCAAGGTGGAGAAAAAGGAGATGATATCAATAATATTCATATTTGTAGACTTACAAATGACAATTGAATTTTAACACTTGAAATTTAGACAACATAAAAGTCAAAGATGTTATCATGGAATGGAGACTATAATGTTCAATTATTAGCGATGATCTCTTTAAGCAATATTGGAAAACTTTTATACATAGCTCATAGACTATTCTAGGAGTCCAATTTCATAGGTTTGGAAAACTTAGAGAAAGCTACCTAAATGGAGTGTACAAATTCTACCAAATTCACCCTTTGGATAAATGTCATTAATGACCTTTCTTTTCAAACCCAATGGTCTCCCCCTGCCCTTGCCCCTCTGCCCTTATTCTTTCTGATCTATGTATTTATCTTGTATATTCCGATTTATAAATGTTTACACATAAGCTCTTTGAGAACAAGGACTGGTTTTACTTCTTTGTTATCCCCAGTGCTTAGCACAGAGCCTGGCAAACAGTAAACATTTAATAAATTCTTGTTGATTGATTGATCTCTCTGTAGCACATGATACTTTTCACCACCCTTCTTTATACTGTCTTCTTGAATTTTATTGTACTGTATTAGATCTTGGGTTTCCTTCTAAGTCTCCAATGCTTTTGATGATTTTTCTTCCTTTCCTCACTCTGTCAGCATATCTTAAAGACTCAAACATCCTCTCTTCTCTATCTACATTCCATCTTTTAGAGGGCCCGTTCATTCACCTTAGCCATTTCTTCCACTTTTGACCCCTAACTATAATTTTGGTAATGCTCTCTTATCACATAGCCACCAAGTTTTCTTGATTTTCATACTATTGGATTCCTTACATTCAAGTCTTCTTCTCTATTCTCAGCGCCACTAATCTAGTCAGGAAGAAGCATGACAAAAACACTAGCTCAGCGAGAAGACCCTCAATCTGAATTTCAGTTCCATCATTTACTAGATGTGAGGCCATGGAGAAGTCAATTGTATATGCCTCAGTTTCCTGATCTGTAAAATGGACAGAATAGTATGTCTACCTACCCCACAGGGTTGTTGTGAAAATCAAATGAGATCCAAGAATATCTTGTATAATAATGGCATAATTAAGATTATTTTACAACAAGGATGTTAATATAACTAAATTCTGCTGCAACATTATAACACATATGATATTGTACCTGTGGAACTGCCCCCTCTAATGTTATTTCATATAATGTGACCCTTTCAAAGAACCAATTAATGATATTTGGTTGAGTATGCCTGTAATGGATGTGAAGACACTTTGTTAATTCTAACATGTTACTTAGATTTAAGACACCAGTAGTGGAAACATAGGCTTTCATTATCTTGTTGCCTTGACTACTGCAATAACCTAACTAATTTTCTACCTTCCTTCTTCAACACATTCTACAATGAAGACCTCCAGCTTAATTTTCCTAAAGCACAACTTTCATCCAGCCACTGCCATCCTCAGACACCTCTACCAGCTTTCCATGGCCTGTAGAATAAAGTCCATACTATTCAACTTTGAATCTAAAGTCCTCCATAGGCTGATGCCAATCTATCTATCTAATCCAGTTTCCTTCAGCGGAAGCCTCACCTTCTCCTAGGCCTGTGTCATCTATTAATCTCTCCCCAACATTCTGGGTTCATTCACAACTCCCAGAATAACTCTTCCCCCATCATCTACCAAACTATATCCATCCCCCACAGGCTAGTTCAAGTCTCATCCCCTCAATGAGCTCTTCTTCAACTGCTCTAACCCACAATGATTTCTTCCCCTTTCTGAACTATACCACTAACTGTCTCTAACATTAATCATGGTACTTAATCATTTCATGACATTTTAAACTATTACATTTTCTATCCTTAGCCAGAATACAAACCCATAAAGGCCAGAAACTGGCACCATCCCTTCCCTTCACCCCATCAGTACATTAAATTTCTTTCTGACTCCTCTGTAGCATGGCTTCTTTTTTGTGTGTGCTATGGACACCTTTGGCAGCTTGATGAACCCTATAAACCCCTATGGCCCCCCCTGTGTAGAAGACACAGGATTATAGAGGAAACCAGTTATTGAAATACAGTTATTAAAATCCTTTTAAAAACAAATTCATGAACCCCAGCTTAAGAACTGTTGTCCTATAATGTCTAGCACAGTGCTCTAACAGATGTTCAATAAATATTTTAATGAATAAATAAAAATTGTGTCAACTAAAGAGATAATTATTGTCACTTTGCAAATTCTAAATTTGTTTCAAAAGATACAGAAACATAGATCTAGGTGAGAAACTTATTTTAACTTTTTCATGTTGACCTAGTAAAAATCCTTACATTTTGCTTTAAAGTATTGTTACAAAGCTGAAAATATTTGTTAAAATCAATATATACAAAATGCTTAAGGTAAGCTTGTTTTTACTTTCTTCTTGATGAACAAACAATTTTAATGTCTGCTATTTGAAGAGATAGCTGCTGACCTAGTCAAGGTGGCAAATGTACACCCCCTCCCTCCACTGATGATTAGCTTATTGGACCTGAGTAGGCATTTAATGATGTTACAACTACCAGCTTTAAAACAACAAAAAATCATCCTCTTTCAGTTTTCTTTCATAGCTGGAAAACTAATATCATGAAAGTATTTTTAATTATAAAATGCATGTTTCTAAAACACATCTTCTAAAAATGAAATAAATATATATAGCTGAATTATAAAGAATATAGGGATTAGAATTACATCAAACAAGAAATAACTTTTTGTAAGGAAATACAATTAAGTTGCATTTTACTGTTTAATAATTTGACTGAGATTACTAGGAAGAGTCTTAGTAATTAAAATAGTTGGTTATAGTAAGATATATATATGTATATATATATGTATACACACACACATACACAAACATATATATTGTATATGCAAAAATCTACATGACCAAATACAGGGTCATTATTGTTACTGAATAAAAGGGATATTGGTCATATGTTAACTCTGAAATAAATTTTTCTACTAAAAGCATAAACAGGGATGGCATTTTCCTGAATCTACTCAAAGTATAACTTGGGATGGCATAGCTTTCCCGAAGCAAGATTCTCCACTCTACTGGTATACAGGACTGTACCTAATAGATATGGATGTTGTGAATTCATATTAAAATAAAATGGAACTGCATTTAGTCAATTCACTTTAAAAAGGTCGCTACTGGAATAATATGCCATTCTTTGTATGATAAAGCTAGATCTCCTCTGATCAAAGGGAGACTAGGATAGAACTGAAATCCATCTTTCAGCCTGACACTTGCTATTCACCTTAAACTATGTGGTCACAGGGAATATTACTGAGTAAAAGGACATTGAAAAGGATATTTTCCTAGTTCAACTGCTCTGAAGTAAAAAGTTTTTCATCAAAACTCTATTTGGCTTCCTGTGACATTCAGGAGTTCTGTAAAAAGGTTGGTGAACACCAGGAGAATCCTAACAGCCAACAAGTGCAAACAATCTTTCCAAATTCTTCATTGCCAATATTTGTTTTTCTGCCCAAAGCATTCATGAAACCTAATAATTGATGAAATACAGGTTTATTTCATGGATAAATTACTTACTTGAGAATGATTGCTTGAGGTCTCGATTTTCTCTTGAGACTTGTCTCTAGCTAATTTGGCAGCTTCCTTCACTTCTTGGAATTTCTCTGCAAACTGAACATTAATAATGTTTACTGAAGTCATTCCTGGCCCCAAACATTACTGCTGTTCAGAATCACCATCACCATTATGCATCCTTCTCAAATCAGCAAATACTGTAAGTGTGTAAAAAAAGAAATTAACAGCAAGCTTTTTAGATAACTTTTAGAAAAGTCAGGAAAATGTTTCTTAAGAGTCTAGCAAATGCTTTTTCTAGCAAATGAATACTAGAAAACAGAGTCATGCAGGCAATGACTTCCTTAACTTCTAGGAGAAAGACTGGAAAGTTAATAAAGACTCACAGGTTATTACTAAAATATAATGATTAAAAATGATATTGATTGAGATGAAGGCAAAAATAATTTGCTAACTACACAGAAAAATTCAATGTGCCCCAGGGAACAAAGAACAAACATACACATAAAGAGGAAGTACAGGAAGACAGTCCTTTTAGCATTTCACATTATTAAATACTGTGTTTTAGGTGCTAGTTAAATTACATTTGGAAACTAACCTTCACCATTAGGAAAGTGGAAAACTCACTTTATGAATTGAAAAGATAGACAAAGAAAACACACCAAGAGCCTAGGGTACCTGTAGAGTGATTAACAAGGCAGGTGGAAGCCAAATTACATTTCAATATTACCTGTTTTAAGGTTTTTTAGCAAAAGTTACTTCTTGTTTTTATTCACATAACTATAATTCTGCTTTATTACTTTAACTTCAATCATGAAAAGAATATCAGGACTACCAAATGAATCAAAATTTACTTTGCAGGGAAACCACAGTCTCAACTCTCAGTACTAATGTTCAATTTTCCCTCTTCAGAAATGTTTTGCTAAATATTCATAAAGTAGGTAAGACCAAGTCTTCATAGGCATTTTCACAGTGAAACATTCCCAAATTGCCTTTGGGATAGAAGTGTTCCATATCTACTGGAAAGAGTTGGTACTTGACCTAAATGGATTAGAGACAAGGAAGGGGAAGCCACTGGAAAATAGAATATGCATCAGTTAGCAAGAGATAAGTCTCCCAACAACCTTAAGCACCCAAAGGAACATAAAACCTACCATTTAAAAAAAAAAAGTGTGCCTGAAAACGAAGCAACAGCTCCTGAGCAAGAGGCCAGAAAAGAGCCAAAGACCTAATTATGATCATTATACGCAATTGTCTGTTTTCTCATTAAAAGGAATGGAGTGTTTTTATTGACGTGATCACTATATAAAGCCAGGACTTGAAACCAGATACTCTGATTCCAAGGGGTAGCTAGGTGGCATATTGGATAGAATCCTGGCCCTGGAGTCAGGAAAGTTTATCTTCATGAGTTCAAATCTGGTCTCAGGCACTTACTAGCTGGTGGTAAAGCATTCTAATATCTTAGCCAAGAAAACCCCAAATGGGGTCATGAAGAGTCGGACATGAGTGACAACTGATTCCAAATCCAATGTTCTACCACACCAGCAGAATAAAGCTAGGTATATATAAATGACCTTAAGAAACCCAAACTTTTTCTAGCTGAAAGATCAGAGGGTACCTCTCTCTGGTTCAATGCTCACTGAAGACACAAGTTTTTATGAGTAAACACACAGTTCACTAAGTTGTGTGTGTTTGGAGAAAGGTAGCTTTGGTGACTCAAAGTGAGACATGGAATTAGAAGTTGAGATGTTGCTGGTAAAAAGAGTTTAGCAAACCCAAGCCTGAATAATTGGGTAGTTTTTAAAGATGTTTGTCATTGTTGTTGAGTCGCTTCTCAGTCATGCCCAACTCTTTGTGACCCCATTTGGGGTTTTCTTGGCAAAAATTACTGCAGTGGTTTGCCATTTCCTTCTCCAACTCATTTTACAGATAAGGAAACTGAGGCAAATAAGGTTAAGTGACTTGCCCAGGGTCACACAGGTAGTAAGTGCCTGAGGCCAGATTTGAACTCAGGTTCTCCTAACTTTAGGGTCTGGCACTCAATCCACTGCACCACCTAGTTTTTAAGATAACTTCTCTATTGGGAAAGATAATGAAAGACAGCTAGCAAATGGGGACATCAGGAAAAGCTTCTCAGAGGATATGGCACTTGAGCTGAGTTGTGGGGGATGCTGGAGGTTACAAGAGACAGAAGTGAGGAGGGAGAACACTCAGACAAGGAAGACAGGCTGTGAAAAATAAGATGGAGACAGGAAATACAATATCCTATACAGGGAGACAGCAAGTTGGCCAGTAGTTAAAGAATAGGAGGGAGCTAGCCTCAAGCTAGTTTGCTGATGACTCTAGATGCCAAATGAAGGATTTTGTAGTTGATCACAATGGCAATAAGGAGTCACTGAAGTCTTTTAAGCAAGGGAAGTATCATGGGCAGACTTTAGTTGGTAATTTGGCAGCTAGGTGGAAGATGAATTAATGCTGACAAACTGGATGCAGTTGTGAAGCTACTAGTCCAAGGGAATCAATGACAAACTAGGTAGTTGTGGTATGAATGGAAAGAAGAGAACAGATGTGAGAGATATCGAAAAGGTAGAATTGCCCAGAATTGGCAACTGACTGAATATTGGAGAGTGAGTTACTTAGAATGAAGATCTCCCAGAATGAAACCCTGGGTGACTAGAAAAATGGATGTATTTTGAACATGAAAAGTTTGAAAAATGGGTAGGTTGTGTGTGTGTGGGGGGGGATAATGTGTTCTGTTTTGGAAATGTTGAGTTTGAGATGACTGTGAGTTCATCCAAGTAGAGATGTCAAGGAAATGTCAAGAAGATCTTGGAAAAAAACACAGCCTACATGTCCTATCTACACATGTATAATCTTCTAATTTTAGTGTGTGTACAGGATTTAGTGCAAGTAAGCTTCCCCAAAAGACACTAACACAAATACTTGAAATCATGATCGATGTTCTTTCTTTTACACTTCATCAACTAACTTAGTACAAATGAGATAGAAGAGTTCAGGTAAATTAACATGAAAATATCTGTGGTCCATTGTGATAGTAACACAGGAATCATAAATGCATTCTGTAGAAGAGGAAGTAAGCTGAGAGAAAGTTTCCTCAGAAATTTATCATCGTTTCTGTCAGTGTTCTTTGACTTCAGTTGGTAGACTATGCCCAAAGTATGCCAAAATCTGGATTTTGCTCCAGAAACATGGAAAAACCTGAGTAGGGGAAGGAATGTGGAGGAAGGGAGAAGGCAAAGACAAAAATAAGAGAAGGAATAGTTCATGCGATACTCCACGTAGAAGAGGAATCAAGAACACAGGTTGCGAGGGAAGCCAACGTGTCAATGTGTTCTAACACGTAATCATCAGGAAGATGTTGACATCTTTGTTTCACAAGCATGGCCTCAAAGAAGAGATATGAGAAGACCTCATATTGGCAGAAGTGGGAGCAAGGCAGTCCAAAGGTGTGGAACATTGCATATGGTGATTTTTTTTTTAATGTATTGAGCACTTTTGTTGATTTTTTTTCCTCTTTTTTAAATTTTTTTTACCTCTTTGTCATATGGGATAGCTCTCTGGGAAGAAAGAGTTGGGGGGAGGAGATACAGATGAAAATATAGGTGATATAAAAACAAAATATCGATAAAAAAAATTTTTGAAGATAGTATCACAAATCCCAATGCTGCCACTCTTGTCACTTCCACTGAGTTGTTGAGTTGAAGAGAAGAATATCTTTTACTCATTTTCCCCTGCTTTAATCTGTTATAGTCTCTGCTCTAGAGATAGAGTAACAGACACACAGACATCCTTTCTTTATTCCTTTCCATAGTTGTGGGTATTTTTAAGAACACCCTTGTCGACTTGAATTCTTAAAATCTAGCCACTGCTCAGATTCTTACAATCTAGCCAATAGCTCACTAATGTTCAGACTCCTTAAGAGTCTGCCCAATATGACGGATGTTCTAATAAACCTTGTCTCTGACTGGGAAAAAAAAAAAAATACCCTTGTCACTCCAAACATACAGAAAGGCAAGTAGGAAGATACCCAGAGGCAGATAGCTCCATACAGGGTTTCTTGACCAATTTGCATTCATGTTCACTATGTTCAATGAACTATGTGATCACAGTTTGTTTTTTTTAAATGAAACAATAAAAAATGCCATCACCTGTGTCCATTCCTTTTCCCAAGCTGACATTCCTGGAACGCACTCATTTTGGGAGAAAGAAGGGAAGATAGATGTTCCCTTCTTTCCCCAAGAATCACTAGCTTCCTTCAAAGCTCAACTTTAATGCTACATTCTATTGAAGATCTTTCTTAATCCCCCCAGTTTTTCCTGCTCCTGAAATTATTTTGTATTTACTTTGCATGCAAACACATGCACACATTTATTTCCTACAATAGATTAAGGTCCTTAAAAGACAGGCATTATTAATTTTTTTCTATTTCAGTAGTGCCAAGCAAAGTGCCTGGCACAAAGTAGGCACTTAATAAGTTCTTGCTGAATTAATAATTCACAATTCATTACTACTTTTGGGAGAGACACTAAGGTTGGATATACTGATCTGCTAGTCATCTGCATAAAGATGATGATTAAACCCACAGGAATTGATAATGAAGGCACCTTCACTGCAGTAACTACCATAAGTAGTTCTAAGGAAAATTCAGAGATGCACATACATATACATGCACGTGTACACATGTACAACTATATCACATATGGACACAACTAGGAATCTAAACAATAACTTTTATCTATTTGCTATAAGCCAATCTCAGTTTATACCAAGTTATATTTCAAGTATACATCTCTGCCCAGAACCTTGGTCATAATGACTGTTCAACAAATATTTATTGATTTGATTTGAAACATGCAAGGCTGACAGCAAAGGAACAGAACGTACAGTAACACCAATCACAATTGTGAATTTCGGTTGCTGCTCTTTTCCTAGAACCAAGTATTATGCATGAATGTTTATGAAGCACGCAAAATTTAAGTTTCAAATCCCTTTGATTTCAACATTAAAAAAAAGTTCCAATGTTTAGCTATCCTTGTTGGGGGGAAAAACCTCATTGAATCTGACATATCCCTTTAACT